TTCATGAAGCAACAAAAGTTCATTCTGGATGAATTGAGCTTCACTGCTCATCCATTTTTGTCGCCTTCACTTCGAAGCACCTTCAACACCACCCTTCCTCTCACCCCCACACATACAGAACACAACATCTCACCATTCTCAGATGTTTCATTTTCAGACAAACAATAGCTACTTTGCAGTCAGGGATTGGGAAAAGAGGAACTTCGCCTGTGTACAGTGGCAATTAAAATGACGTGTGGGTCCTGCCTGTTGCATAATTCCCTCAGCTAACACAAAGGGACCAATTTTCTCCTGAAACAGAATTGTAGTTTACAGTACAATAGTAGAGGACATGTGGGTGGAATGGAGAGTTTGGATAGGACCGTGCTGCTTAATGACGGGTGAGAAGGGGGGGGGGGGGGGGGGGGGGGGGGGGGGGGGGGCCTGAGTTGGAAGCCAGTGGTCACTGTGAATAGTTTTCTGATCATTTGGCATTAATGAATGATGATGAAACAATGAGACCAAGATCCAAAACTCAAGCCATTTTCAGATTTGACATAACAGGACGTGACGGTTTCACGTCTGTCTTGGGTTTGAAATGACATGAAAACTTGCTCTTTGTGAATTGTTCGCACATTTTCCTACTGTATTGTCACGTGAGCATTTTACTATGAGGCTGGAAGGTAAAGTTTCAAAAAATATCTGGAGTAACCCACTCGAACATTTGTGTTCTCATATACAGCCCTGGACTTGCATTTCTGAAAGTAGTTTTAATCTCTCTGCGGTTTCTCTATTTTTGTTGATGTTCACATATACATGGCAACATGTGGTCTTCTGACAAAAATGAAAACGCTTCACCTACAGGGAAGAAGAGATTTAATCTTCTGATGCAGGCTGTGTTCGCCTTGGCTGAGTCATCACTTTAATTTCTCCATTTCTCCACAACATCGGCAGTATATCATCAGGGGACTTCAGGTTTAGTGTGAGGGTCAATTCAAACACATCACAAAAAGGAAAATGTCTCTCTCACTACTCTTGCATGGCATCAAAGCATGCAAACAGTTATCTTTAAATTTGAGTTTTGAGATAACCTTGACATTTCTGCTGCACCCACACATAATGGTGTTGAATAGTTTTTGGTTCTTGGAGTTCAAAATACTAAAAACTTTATATTAAAAGATTTGATAGCTATCGAGATGTGAATAGGATTTCAATGAATAAGATAAACAGTCAGTACCTTAAATACCTTAACTTAAACAGCATGACTGTTAAATACCCAGGGACCGTCCTGTAATTAGAAGGTCGTAACTTCAACTTCCCAATCAAAGACTTCATCCTTGCTTAAACGATAATTCTCTTTTATTACCCTGTCTGCTGATGTAGCCGGAAGCAGGGTATTGTTTTCACCCCTGTGTCCGTGTGTGATTGTGTGCATGCAAAATGACTCAACAATGCATGGACGGATTTTCAGAAAACTTTCCACCACACACATCTGAAGACCGAATCCTTCTGCCAGACCAACGCTGTCCTCACGGAGAAAAATCTGTCCACATGAAAAAATACAATATCTCTGAAGACATAAAATCTCCTCACAGACAAGTGGCAGTCAAAGAGTTTGGTGTAATGCACATAGTTGCGAGTTCCGGCAGGAAAGGGAGACCTTGGGGCAGGAAATAGGGACGTTGGAAAAGAATGAAAAGTTGAGGCTCCATAAAATAGAGGAAGAGGAAACCCAGACCATGAGAACTCTGCAAGACATGGAGAATATCAATTAACAGGCCTGGGAGGCATGTGAGGAACAACTGAGGGAAGAGGTCAACATCATCCCAATGCAGAAGACTGAGGGTGAGGAGTGGGAGGACAGGTCCTGTGAGGAAGCTCTTCAGGAACATCTGGACATAGTCACTAAAGAGGCTGATATTAACCTACAGAATGGAACCAGGCGTGAGAACCTGCAGCAGCAGAAATCTGTGGCTGAGGAATGAACAGTAGAGGCCATGCAAGTCAACAAATATCTTCAAAATAAAGGCATGGTGCTTCAGACATTACTCCAAAAGGAAAAACAGCTGAGTGACAATAATGAGGTGAGAGTCACAGCTCACACGTGAGAAAATGTTAAATGGTCTGTATTTATATAGAACGTCTCTAGTCTTGATGACCACTCAAAGCACTTTACAGTAGTTTTATATTAGTTATTTATATTCTCTATGAAAAGGGGCAATTTGGGATTCAGTTTCCTGCCCAAGGACAATTTGGAAGACTGGGATTGATCCATTGACTGTCTGGTTAGAGGACAACCGCTCTAGCCCTTGAGCCAGAGCCGAAAAGGCTTAGAAGGAACTAAAGGAGGCAAGAGCTCATAGTTTTGATGCTTCACACTGAGCTTCAAGAGGAGGTGGCTGCACATGAGGAGAAGCTGCAGAAACAGGAAGGCAACAAAAGGCTTAGTTGTGGTAAATGTTTGTGGGGATTTTCATCTGAGGGTGGAGAAGACTGGGACACATGAGCTGCTTTCAGATATGCACTAAAGTCTGGACATTTTCCTGAAATATTCTGATGGGGCTGTCTCCAGAACACAAACAGCATTCTTTTTCATATCGTCTCCTGTCAAACTCTGGTAAAATGTCTTGAACATGTCTGAGTGAGCCCATGAGAGTGTACAGCAGGAAAATGACAACATAAAAATGTAAGCAGTGGCTGATTGGGGCATATACAGTGCACACAGGGACAATGCACTCAATAAAACAATTGCACACAGCAAAATGGCTCCAGCTAAGTCCAGCTGGACAAGAAACAGTCAGACGATCAGACAGGATGAAAACAAACCACATCATCAAAACCACTACTTTAAGGCAAAGTAAATTAGAAAGTGAATGCAAGTGAAATGTTGAAATCTACGGCAGAAAATAAACAATGTAGCCTAAAAATAATATATAGTTCACAGATGGGCATGAATTCAGCGAGGTACTACCACACATGTGTATAGCAGAGAAACCAGAGTACGCCCACAGCTCACAGAGCGTCTTTAGAATCATACACGCAGAGAGCATCTCATCAATTCCCTCTTACTCTCAGAGCCCATCCATCTTGTTTAAACATATCCTCTAGGAACTTCGCCCCATCTTTAGAGTAATCAGCATTTAGATTAAAAATGCAAACACCTGCTATAGATCATCTTATTTGTAGAGCATCTGTCAGGTCAAAGCTCAGCATTCTGCCAATTAAGTCTGAGGCAACTCCAATCTCAGGTAAATTAATGGATAAGTGACACTGTGCGAGTCGCGGTTAGCTTCTTTTCTAACAAGTCCAGAACTTACAGAAGTCTACCAAATAAATGTCAACAAAGTCTTTTAAATCTAAAGATCTCCATTCATTTATTATTGTCTTAAAAATGTCTCAAAATAGAGCCAAAGATTTTCTATCTGGGCTTTGTCAATATGCTGACATTATTTTTGACAACATCACAAGTGTGTGTTGTGTGCAGCCTCTGCAAAAGCCAGTGATGGAGGAAGTAAAAACATACAAGTGTAAAAGTAAGCAAGTAATGAATGAATGAATAGACTTCAAGTATTACAAGTAACAATAATTGCAGAGGATGGATGGATGATGGATAGATACTTTGATCCCAGGAAATGTATCATTATTCCCTAATGCAACGGTAAACCACATCAACATGGCTGGTGGTCTCTTCTGAATCCAGGTCAGGTGTTTCTTCACCATTATGCTGCTGCGCCACAAGATCACGGCTCTGACATATTTCCTAATATATGCAGTGGAATAAATCTAATTAAGTAAAGCATAGACGTGAAAATAAAGTTAAGCAGTATTGAACTAAATGTATTTTGTAACATTCAACAACTAATCGAAGTAAAAATGTATCTGACAATGTAATGCCACAGTTACAGTCACATCAAGTGGACGAGAGTAAAGTGAAAGGCATATGCCTTATATGGGTTCAAAGTAAAAATGCTAATCTGAAGAATCATAAATGTATGAGCCCAGCAGAGGCTGTAAACTCACTCAATTTTACAGATGCACATCGTGTTCTGCTGCCTGCATCCTTCACGAGTGCATGACTTGCAGTGAGCAGCTTGGTGTGATCTCGTGTGCTGGAAGATAAAGGATATGGATCATTGGGTCATCAGGTGGTCTTTGAGGTGGGAGCTGCCATATTTATTTCAAAGAGGAATGATAGAAAGAGGCAGAGCAAGCAAACAGGAACTAGCCTGTGCAAAGAAACAGAATATCAAATAGTCTAAACAGGAAACCAGGGAACCTATTTGAAGCTGCAATTAGACAATGATTACGAAACCATGTTTATGAAATTGTTCACCAGAATGATTTTTCAAGATCATTAAAATATGAAAATTGACAGATGAAGAGAAATAATAGAGAAGATGTGGGGAAAAAGACTGAGTGTTGCCATGGTGATGATTTGTAGTCAATACAGAGCTTTCCCTTAAAACCACATGAACTTCACATGTGCACCTGTAAATACCCATACATGTGCACTACATGGTTCCACATGTGCTGCCATGATTTCCACATTTGCTCCATATACGTTGCAAACTGGGGTTTAATGTGTCCACATGTAAAAATCATGTGAAATTCACATAGTTTCTCTTTGAGGGTTGTGTGTGTTTTTCTTTCCTTTGAAAAGCTGATTGAGTTAAGTGGTGAGCAGGGGAGCAGAATGCTGCAGACAGCCTATCCATTCCCCTGATTAGCCGTCCACTCTCCATTTTTCATTCATTTCCATCATTAATGCCGCAGCCGCCCAGCTTGTGCGTAAAGGAGAGTGCTGTCAAATGAGGGACAAAAGTTTTCTTATCTGTTACTATGGTGAAGCTCATAAAAATGAATCCATACAGGTCTTAAATCATGTCTGGCACCAGATTCGATGCAGCGGTAGAAGTGACACTCACTGCTGTGAAAAATGTCATCAGCTGCAAATGTCATCCAGATACAAGCTGACAGAAAACTAAATAGGCTGAAACAAACAGTTGATTAATTANGGGGGATGTGGGGACATAATTTAAAGATTCCACAGGCCAGATGTAGAGTGACTGTAAGTCAAGTATTATAGGTAGAGTCAGAGCTTTGGTTTCAGTCGTAGTGGAATGAACATCAATGATCAGCCCACTCGTCTTGGCTGCACACTCATAATAATAATGTCCTAAATCTTAGAGGTGGCCAGGAAGAGGGTTATTATGCTTTCGTTCACATTGTCCCCCAACAGTCATTTAAAATGCACATTGTAATATTCATAACAAGATGCGCAAATATTCAAAAAACAAGAAAACAGTGAAGAACACTTTGTGAGGTCTATGTGCTTAAAACACTCTCTGACTTCTCTCAGTTTTTAAAAACATCCTTTGTAAACAAGTCACTACATTTATTTGAAATGAACTTAACTCTACTTGTTTAAATCCGTGTTACAATCCTCTAAAAAACAAATATCTAGTTGTCCAGCAAAATAAAGTCATGTCAAACAAACATCATTTTCACAATAGCTATGATCATTTCAGATGGAGAGATAAAATATGAATAGTGATATTCAAGTAAAATGCTTTGGCTAACAAAGAGTTCATTTGTCTATGATTCTGACAAACAGCCTCACTTCTGTAGAAACTGATGACCTGAACATTTTTTTTACTGTCAACCGATCCTATGAAAAGACCATAAGTAACAATTAATGTATAGAATTAAAAGCCTCGAACATAGATCTCCATAGTGGGAGAATGTAGTCACTGTAGTTTATCACCTCTGCCAAGAAAGTTATGTTTTCCTTTTATTTGTAGTTAGTGAGATAAGGTTTTTTCAACATTTTCCTCATTCTCTCAGAGAATAATTCATGGATCATGATGAAAAAAATCAAGAACTGATATGTATAAGTGTGTGCAATTTGGTGCAGTTCCAAATATTAATCCAGATCTTGTGAATTTAAATGTGACTTCAAAAGGAGACTATTGGGCCTTGACGGGATATTTGCTCTCTAAATGCCATTCTATTTTTGAATGGATGCAATCTACTGTAACTAGTCAATAGCAAAGCAAATGTGGATAAAATAATTCCCAACAAGTACTCCAGTTCTATTTTTTGCTAAAAAAATGCAGTTTCCCGCTGCGTGAAGGAAGAAAATTGACTTATTTGAAGTCCGAAGTACCTATTTATGAACGTCTCTAAGACAGAATGGTCTTTCATGGCAGAAAGCAGAAACTGATTAACATGTAATTGGTTTCAGTCTTTTCATGTGAAGAAAAATAAAGAATAACTTCCCCCAATCCCTTTATTCTTTCATCCCTAACAAATATGTCTCGAACTTTCACTCCTCCCCTCCAACGACACCCAACCACTGCTGAGTGGGAACCTCCAGGCTCTTCTGGACAGAGTCTCCACGAAGCCTCGCCTCTCTTTCTTCAGACTCGGGTCGGCCAGCCAGCTCCGGGTCCAGCTCTTTGAGCGAGGCTCCCCTGGAGCTTCTCCCTCTGTTATCTCCATCCTCTTCTTCCACAGAGTGGACCAAGGAACCCGCTGGGGACGTCTCTCTGCTGTCTGACAGGAGAACCCCACTCCCTGAGCTGTATTCACTGTTCGAGTCTGCACCTAGAGCAGTGAAAAAACAAAAGGGAGGGGGTGGACAGATGGTGAGAGGGTGTCTATAAACAAACACCGCATGAGAAAAGACTACGCTGCCCAAATAATACAGGGCGGGGATTCAACCAAAATCTGCATGGTGGTGGTATTTGAGCTGTATAGTCTTTTTAATTTTTGATCAAACATGGAGGAAATATCAGAATATTACTCCTGAAAAAAGTTTATTGAAATGAAATGCTGTCAGTGTTTCATATGGGACCACATGTGAAAGATTACTGAAATAGTTTAGGGCCATAAAAACACACCATGAGTGACAGAGACAAGACAACCGACACCCTACAGTGATATTAAAATGAAGCTGTCTCTTATTGTCCTG